AAGCCTGTTAATTTCTTACCCTCAGTTTCCTCATCTCTAAAATGGGAATAACACTTCTATACCTCACAGATTTGTTATAAAGATGAAAGAAGACATAATTGGCGAAATGAATTAAGCTCCTAGCATAGCGCCAGGTGCAATGTGAACATTTTCTCTGTGCCAATGTCATCTACTGCCCACCTTTCACAGGAATGCTTTTTCCAGAAAAATATGCAACAGAGAAAGCATAGGGAAAGAATGCAGGAAAAATACCAATTAAATATGCCATGCTGGAATAAAAATACCATTTACAGAGCTAAAGATTACTGAGCTTCCTACTCATAAGTGTTTTATACAATTAATCTTGTTTAATCTTTACAAAAATCCCACAACGTAGGTATAATTATCCCTGCTTTACAGATGAGAAACTGAGGCTCAGAGAGGTTAAAAGACTTACCCAAAGTCACAATGTTAGCATGTAGTGGAACCACCATTTGCATCCAGGTTTCCAGAAGTACAAAAATCCACATGCTACCTGAGTCCCTCACTAGAGGTAGTATCCGCCCTGCATGTCTCTCTTGACCATGAGCTACACGTGCACTGCGCATGTATCTGCAGTATGTGGGGCTGTTTTACATCTTCTAGATGTATATACGCAAATGCCATTATGCCAGAATTACCTTTTTGCAAATTGTTTTCTGACTAACCATTGTATTTTTGAGATTTAGCCATGCTGAATATATTAGACATAGTTCATTTTAAACACAATTTAGTTTTCCATCATATGACTATAGTTTATTCAGTTTGCTTACTCAGTCTGCTACTATTAATAATAGATCAAGATCCCTTTTTGTCAGTTTCTCATTATTGCAAGCAAATGCTGAAATGAACACCTTTATTTGTATATATAAATATAAATTTTATATATATAAAATAATACACATATGTAGGAGTCAGTCTCTCTGGACCACAGGGTGGCAAACTATGGGCTTCAGGCCAAATCCAGTCTATTTCCTGTTTCTGTAAATAAAGTCTTACTGGAACTCAGCCACGTTCATTTATATATGTCTTGCCCATAATTGATTTCAGGCTCTAACAGCAGAGTTGATACAACAAAGACCATGCAGCCCACAAAGCCTGATGTGCTTCCTCTTCCAGCCCCTACTCCCTTCTCTCCTCCTCTGCAGCTCTGCCTCTCTAGACTATACACCTACGAGTGAAGCAGCTGGGTCTTAAGGCTCTGTTCACCATGAACTTAACTGAGACTGACCACACACAATTTGTTATCCAACTGATTTCCTGATACCGGAAAGGTTGAGCATATTTTCAAATGCTTAATAAACATTCAACAATAGAATATCTATTCAATAAATATTTGAGTGCCTATTCAATCAGACACTGTTCCAGGTGCAAGAGATACAATGGCGATCTAAATCAGCAGAAATTTACAAGTGTTTACAATGCTTTTTAAGATCGGGGAAGAGACTTTGCAATATGATGATAAGTAAAAGAAGTATTTATTTATTCATCAAAACATACTTTGAAAGCTTGCTTTTCGCAAGCAGTACACACAGCATCACAGGCAGTTGCATAAGACCTCTCCCTTGCTCTCAGGAGGGCAAATTACTACGTATAGACAAGCATGGTCTCATTATGTGTTTTAAAAAATATTAGGAACTAGATTCAAAGGTTAATAATGGTTTATATGGAATTACAGGTAATTTTAATTTTCCTCATACTTTCTAGTGTTTTCCAAGTTTCTTCTATGAGCATGTTATATAATTATATTTATAATTGAATATAAAGGATATTCTTTGAAAGACCAGGGTTAGCAAACAATGATGTCAGTCTTCTGGAACTCGATCTCTGTGGCTGTCTTCTGTGTGTGTTCCAGATAAAAAGGAGAAGAATAACAAGGCCAGAGCTCATTGCTGCCTCACAGTCACCTTTGTTCCTTGGGTCACAGTCTCAAAACCTCTCTGTATCACACTCCTGGGAACCTAGGGCCTAAAACTAGGAAATAGTCCTCAAAACTTTGAGGACCCAGGCTTGGGTCCTTGCAAAGCTCAGCCCTCTCTGCAATCAGAAAAAAAAGAAAGGCCAATTTTGCAGGAGCTCTGATCCTGTTACTAGCAGTGACCTAGGGCCTGGGCAAGGTACACAGATATATCTATGGCTGACAAAAGCAGCATCAGACAGCCTGTGAGTCTCTCTTGGTAAACTCAAAGGTGCAGAGAGCAAAGAGATGAAGAGTCTTAGTACCCTAGCTAAACTAATCCCCATTGTGGAAACATGCTTATTTTACCCTGCCCCAGTCTCACTGTATTAAGAACATAAGTTCAGAAGGCAGATGTATAAGCTGGAAGACAGAAATATAAATGCTATCAGCACACATTCTTACTTCTGCTCCTACTTTCAGTTTATTAGCTATATTCCAATATATCCCATCTCTGGTTATACTAAAGATGAGAACATAAATTCATAAACCAAAGACACTCAAAACTTTGTAAGAAGCAAGATAACAACACAACTTTTTACTAACGCCACATTGGCAATGTATACGGATATGTTGCAAGGTCCCAGTTAAAAGATAGCAGAACAGTTACTCTTATCTTTTAAGTGGAGAAGCTGCCTCTGAATGAAGACTACAGATCCCCCGCACATGATAAAACCCAGAGCCTAGGTGGAATTCTAGGAAGACAAAAGAGTCTTGAGAATAATACATGGTAATATTATATATACCTGGTAATGTTAATCTGCCTTCTCTACTCCTCCAACTAACAGGCCTCCTAGGTTCTACCCACTGAAACTATCACCTACAGCAAATATAGGATCAGCTATCACCAAGAATTGTTAAGGATTAGATATAACCTGGGAAAAATATATTTGAAAGCCATAAAGTGCTAATAATAAAATAGCTACCCTTAATCTGGGTGCTTTCTGTACCAGGTAAGATAATAAGCACTTTCTATCATTTGTACTTTCTTCCTCACAAAAACTGTGCTAAGTTGGATCTCATTATCCTCATTTTATGGAAAAGGAAAATGGAGTTAAGTGACTTGTGTTGGACAAAGAAGAGGATTCTAACCCAAAGCTCTTCCACAACACCAACTTGTCTCATCAATGTAATAAATGACTATGATTAGTAATCGCAAATTTAGAATTATAGTCCATTCTAACATAGAACCTGGCACCTCTTTTTAGCACACTGTGACTAAACAAGAGTACTAGGCTAGGGACATGTGGGGGACTCAGTCATTTAAAGGCTCTAACTTGAATGCAGGGTACTCTAAGCCACCCCCACCCTCCAAAAGGACAGGTACAACATTCCCATTCCTCTGCCAACCCTGACCAACCTTTGCTAAGGAGCAGGCCCATGTGCCTGGCCCCTTCCTTTTTCCTCACTCAGATAAAAATGGGAAGATGCATGTAAGGTATCTGGAAAAAATGCTAATTAGCCGCCAGGGTTTTCCCTCCTCCTTGCGTGGGGCCAGTGAAAAGCCACAGGCCTTCTGCAGCACCTGGCCTCTGACCCCTGGGCTCCAAGATTGAGGTAGTGAGTTAGCCTTGGGCCCGGGTGTCATTGCTGCTGCTTCTTCCCACAAGTCTCTCCAAGTCCTAGCCCCAGCCAGTCACCTCTGTGCTTGAGCATCTAAAAGCAAAGGTCATGCCCTTTCCCCCCAAGAGCACTAGATTCCCGACTAAGACCAGTCAACTGTAGCACCAACCCTTTCCTTGTAGCAATACAGAGAATGGTAACTGACAGCCTGTGCCTTGAACCAAGAGAGGCCAGCCTCTGACCTCACTAGCCTCAGATAAAGGCAACCTCCGCCCTCTTCCCAACATCAACAGCGTCAGTGCCTTATCCACGAAACAGGCCAATTGCTTCCAATCTCCTCAAAGTGTCCCCAAAAGTGCCTACCTTACAGTGGGTACTTACTATGAGTTCCCTCCTTGCCCCACTTGCCAGCCCTACAGAGCGGGGAGTGAAGCTGACGATCACCTTCCTCGGACCCGGCCCAAGAAAAATCGCCCTGAAACACCTATGTCAGCTCAAAGTAAGGATCAGCGAACCCCTGACCTACCCCACCGCCCAAGCTGGCAACAGTACCAAGGCCTCAGACCCCCAAGACTTCATTCAAGTCACCCCGACTCAGATCTCCGCCCCAGACTCTGACCCGGAATAGCGCTCCCCGGCCTGATCCCGCCGGAATCCCCAGACAGACCCTGATCGATAGAGCCCCAACCCCCAGCCCGGCGCGGCCGAGCCCCTGACCCTCGGCCCCGTGCGGAGAAACCCCGCAGCCTCGCGCAGCGACCCTCCCGGTCCCGGGCCGGTGGACCCCTGACAGGCGCGGCGGCCTCCGCCGGCCACCCCCACCCCCGCCGGCAGGCCTGACCTTGTCGGAGCTCGGGGTCGTCCAGCACGTTGTAGGCCGCGTAGTCGCGGACGCCGTGCAGCCGCAGGATCTGCACCACGGCGTTGCTGAAGCCGCATTGGGGCTGCTCCGGCGTCCCCTTGAGGAAGACCACCACCTTGTCCTTCTTCACCAGCGCGTCCAGCTGCTCCGCCGAACCGCCGCCGGCCGCGCCCGAACCCGCCGTCCGCACGCCCAGACTCCACAGGCCGCCGCCGCCGCCCGCGCCGCGCCCCCAGCGGAGCAGAGCCGCCGCCGCTCGGCCGAGGGACCCGCTCATTCCCGAACGCTCGCCGGAGCCCTCGATCGACTCGGACCTCGGCTCGCAACCCGACTCCCTCCCCAGCCAGACGGCAGCCCGCCCCACCCCGGAAGCCCTGATTGGACGGCTCCGAACCGCTCTCCGTGATTGGACAAAACTAGCCCGCAATTACTCAATTCTACCAATCATGTTGCTCGTCCCGCCCCGGCAGGTGGGAGGTGGTCCTTATGCCTGAGCTGCATCCTATCCCCTTACAATTGGCTGTCGGCAACCGTTTTGTCAGTTGATTGGAGAAAGTGGATGTCCATCAGAATTACGCTCGCAGGGCAACGAGAGGCAAAACCAGGAGGAAGACCACTTTCCTCCCGAGAGCCGACGGGGCCAGCTGGGATACTCCGGGACGCCTGAGACAGGCGCTGGGCGGGGTCTCGCCCGGTTCGCGGAACGCCGGGAAGGGGTCACTTCCAGATGAAGGGGTCACTTCCAGATGAAGGTTCCGGTTCCGGTGTCGGCGGCTGTCGGATTGCCATGGCAACCCGGCTGGCTGGCGCGTGGTGCCAGCATCCAGGGAGGTGGTGGGACTAGGGCAAACCGGCGTGCCCCTCTGCCAGCCTAGGTGAGCGTCCCCGGCGACCCCGGAGGGCCGCGGCCCAGTGCAGTCCGTCGTGGCGGGGAGCGGGGGCCTACCTGGGACTTCCGGCGCCGGGGCTGTGGCCTGGCTTCCTGAACCCTCCATCGGCCCCGCCGTCCACGTGGGAGCTGAGGCTCTGGCCTGGCCTTGCGGCTCCGGCCTCTGGCGGGCCATCGTTGCTCCAGAACAGCTTCTCTTTTAAAATCTTCTAAAGCGCTCGTGCCTGTGTGATTTCTTCTGTGTTTCGAGCCTCCTTGGCCTCCCAGCCCACTGAAGCCTTTGGGCCAAAGCTCAGGAAAGGTTTGTTGAAGGGAGAACTAAGAAGTGACAAACGTTTCCGAAGCAGGTGCTGGGTGCTAGGCGCTGTACCAGTGCAGAATCTTCAGGGAGATCTGGTGCCCAAAGCTTGGAATCAACGTGAGAAATGGGAAGCAGATACAAACCAGTGTGGGAGTACAGAGGAGAGAAAGAAAGCTTCCTTAGGCCCGTTGCTTGCTCTGTACTCTGTTGTACTTGTTACTGTTTTACTAGCTTGTTCATTGACTTCTCTCCCGGGCACTAGACATTATTCACTGCTGTATGCTCAGTGCCTAGGACAGTGCTTGGAATGTGGTAGGTGCTCATATTGGTGGAAAGAATGAATCCAGGAGAGCAGGACTCAGTGGAATTGCTGCATAATCTGTAGTCTTGGAGCCGCACAGGGTTGGTGCTACCCTGGAGCACACCAGACTTGCAGAAAAAGCATACCCCAGAGGAAGCTGAGGCATGCCTGCTCAAGAACCAGCGGTTCCATGTGCAATTTTCCTCTGATAGTTCCTAGATACTGTTGCCACGGTGATGATGACTGTGCCATGTCATTATCTATTCACCAACAGTAAGAGAAGCTTGGCAGTCGAGATATTGTTTAGCAGATGGAGTGGTTTCTGTTGGACACTTTAAGTACTGCTACAAATCACTTTTAAAAACCTTAAGTACTTTTTAAAATATTGCTGGAGGTGACCAGCTTTTATACTTTGGGAGTGCTTACATTTAAAATCAATTTCAGTGAGTCTTTCAAGTAATGGTTGGGTATGAAACTTGAGCCTGGCACTCACGACACTACCCAGGAGTGTTAGTGTCAGATTTTCACCCCCGTCAATGTTATTGATGCTTGCTAATTTTCTAATGTGGGACAGAAAATGGATCAGGTGCTTAAAGAATCTTTTTGTTTTTCAGATTCATTGATTCCAGGTAAATCAGAGGAACAAGCATCTTGAACAGAAATATATAGAAAATGCTGTTATGCTGAAGCATAACTTGTTTCAGAAGTCCAGCATCTGGTGTACTTAACAATAGAGCATCTATTAAATTGTTTCCAAAATCACGTTTTGTTCATGCTTATATTGTAGTACGTTTTTTGTTTGTCTTTAAGTAAATGTTGGTGATTTGTCCCTGAAAACCTAAGTTGTTTTTTGCTGACAATCTTAATAACAATCAGGTTCCCTAAAAGTAAATGATATTTATACAGGAAAAGGGCATTGCAGCGGAGTATGTGTGCCATAGTAAACTGTTTGTATTCAGGGAGGTAAAGGAAGACAGGTTTTTGAAGGAAAAATGAGGATGATTACATAATAGTCTAGAGGTAATTATCCTTGGCTACAAGGATCTGTAATAAGGGTGACACCACCACCAAGGTTGGAAAGGCAGTTGCTGGGCAGATGTCCTTGCAGGCATATTTTTTGTGTGAGGTTATGATGGCCTTTGTGCAAGTTTGCAGTTTTTGCGGAATCTTCTGTGATCGATTTTGTTATCAGGTATTTATATGTGAGAGCCCTTCTCTTCATAACCTTCCCCAGCTCTGTTTGTCATGTTTTTCTTTTAATACAAGTGGCTCTGTTTTGATTCTGGCAGCTTTCACGCTGCCCGCTGTAAACTCTCTAAATCTGCTTTTGTGTTGCCTGGAATTGGGAGAAGAATTTGCAAACTTATATTCTGAGGACCTGAGACACAAAGCAGTAATGGGGAGTATTGCTTCCCTTACCTGGTGTATAATATTGGCTTCAGAAGCACAGTTGTATTTTTTAGTTGTTACATGTTTTATTAAGTTGAAAATACAACTGTCATTAAAGATTAAGAGTAATCCTTGAGCAAGAAGAGTATAAAGCCTGTATTTTTCAAAATTATAGTGGAGTTGCTGTGTTATGTAGAATATAAGAACACAGTGTATGAAATGTTAAGGCTAGGAGAAACCATGTTGGTGCTGGTTTGAGGAGCTAAAAAGGGTGTCTTTGAGTCTTTGGTAGCATGAATAAGAACAGGGAAGCAAATCATGTAAAGTGAAGAAATTGAAACAGTATTAAATTTTTAATAAAACCCAACCCAAAATACAGTGAAATGTTTATTGTATATGTTAAGAGATTTTTTTTCCTGCCTTTGGTTTAATGCCACTCTTGGAGTATTAGCACCAAGCATCAATAATTTTAAGAAGTAAAGAAAACAGTATTTAACATATGTCTTCCAAAGCATCAAATTTTGTATATAATTTGGCATTTTAGTTTTGAAATTTCTCTTTAGAAAACCTATAATAATGAAAACGTGACAAAATATACTTCTTAAACAGTTGTGTTTAATCTGCACCTATGCTCAAATATTTTTGAGTATTTTGAACACATAAGCAAATGGTCTATATCAGTTTGTGATCTCTGCCTGTGGACATTAATGGGGAGGTGGGGATGGGAAGTACACAGAAACTTATGAGAATCCTGGGATTTTGGTCACAAAATGCAATTAAATTCCAAACTAATCGTGCCATGTAAATGTGCTGACTCAGGCATCCTAAAAATGTTTTCTTCCTGTGCTTATTTATAGATAAGGCTTCACTATATTTGGTAAAACACTTTTCTACCACTTGTCCCAAAACAGATTCACCATTGAATCCAGAGTGAAAATTCTCACAAATCTGGGATAGGTTCTTCCTGTGTCAGCCTCACTTAAAGAACTAGCATCAGGATTATTGAGCCTAAGATAAAACTTGACCTGACCGTTCAGCATGTCGGTGTGTCCATCTCTTTACTTTCATACTCAGTGCTGCATTCCTGTTTGTTCAGCAGTGACCAGTTCTTAGAAAATGAGAGTGTATCCTGTGTACCAGAGCAAGTGTGATAGAGAAGTGTCTCTGTCCCGGCTGGCCAGAGTATTCTGCAAATGTCACATTAAGAGAAAAGCGGCTGTTTGTTGGACAAGGGGCTGAGTCACCAAATATTCCTGAGCTAAAATAGTGTTTGGGACTCAGAGTTCCATCGATTTCAGCTGGAATCTGAAACCTTTCTCTGGTGTACTTAGCTATTATCCAGTAATTTTAGATCATCACTGCAGCCCTGGAATTGGATTCCCTGATGTCACCAAAAATAATATAATATGTGAGAAAGCAAAGCAAAACCCAGGCCACCAAGAGAATATTTTGAATCCCTAATGCAGAGATGGAAATGCCTTTTGGATTTTGACTACCTCTATCTAACAAGGCAGCTGGTTTATTAATACTTCCGTGGCCATGGGAGTGGCCTCAGCTTTGCTAATCGCTGGTGCCCACATCTTGGAGACAGGCTAGAGGCAGGAAGGCAGGCCTTGCTCTCCTTGCCTGCCCTCAGAGTACTGGGTCAGTGAAGAGAAATGGTGTGCAATAGTTCAGTCTAGAATAGACCATGGGAGATAGGTGATTATGAAAAGCCCAGATGGTATAACAGAACCTGATTCTGTCCTGGGTTCCAGTTCTAAACATCACTAACTACTCAGGAGTTCTTTTTGATTTTCCTCGGATTTTTCCACACCTCCTATTTTCCCTGTCATGGACTTTTGAAAACTACTTGTGATAGCTGCTAAAGGTATACATATTTCAAAATTTCCTTATATAAGGGCTACAGAGTTATAAGGGATCTATTTGTACTCTATCCCTCTGCTCCTAAATATTTACCCCAAAATTATATCATCTTGTAATTTATCTTGTACTTTTTTATTCTTCAAACCACCTTTGTATATTATATATACGAGTTCATTTGAACCTTCCATTAACCCCAGGATAACAGTTCTCAGATATTTTCTCTTTCATATTTATAACATCTTGTTGACAGACATTAGCACTTTGCATACCTCTGTAACTTGTCTTGCCTTCATGTGCAGTTTTTGTTTTCCTGCTGAATCATACATCACCAGCAGTTCCTACAGAAAGTTAAGTATCTCAGTTATCTTGGGTAGCTCTGCATGTGTATACAGTGGATACAGAGATGATTTCTATGCTTTATAAAATTACAATGACAATTTCAACCCAAAGGTCCAGTTTTTAAAACCCTAAGCCATAGCTTTCACTTCTGAAATTTGTGTCCTCGAGTCCCCATGCTGCTTTCTCGCCGAGGACTGAGCTCCTTGGCTACATGCCTGTGAAGTCACATCTGCTGGCCTTTGTTCCATTGTGAGCCTTATTTAATTCTGAGGAAAAGAGCCTGAGTCTACTGTAAAGTGGGATTAAGAATGAAGTGGTAATCATAAAACTTGTTAAGCCTTTTGATTAAAGGTGGTGAAAGAACTGTTGATTTATCCTCAACTGCCTGTTTAATGGATTTTAATGTTTTGTTTTATGTGTGTCTATTTTTACCAGCAGATAGTTTCTATAACTCAAATTATTAATTACTTTCTAAAGACTTAAAATATCCCAAGAGCACAGAATATAAAAAGCAAGAAGCCAGTGCTGTTGTGTGTCAAACTTGTTAGGAAGATTTATCTGTTAGCGGAAGTTTATATCTGCCTCTGATAGTCACTGAGTTTGCAGCCAGAAGAACATTTAGGAAGTTTAATTGTTTTCATTTGAATAATTACTAAGATGTATTGCCAAGGCCATAAATTCTCTTTACAACGTGTCAGAATTTCACTTTGTACTTAAACCTTTAAGCCTTAATCATTTCATGCCTTCAAAATTAAGTCTTGCTTTTATGAGAATCCAGGCTCCAGCCTTCTTCAACAATTCTTCTAGCAAAGAAGGAGAAATTCCCCACCAGTTTCATGATGGGGAAGGGATGGTTCAGGTTAGAGATGGGATGAGACATTCTTTGCAGGAAAGAAATGGAGGATTTTGAATAATATTTTTTCTGCTTTTATGGCCAGAAAAATTCTATTTGTTGATTCTAAACTTTATATTTTTTGAAAGTGTAGCCTACTGAGATATTGTTAGTATCAAATTTCAGTGGGCCAGAGTTTCAGATGGTTTTTTTTTGATACAGAGTCTTACTTTGTTGCCCAGGCTAGAGTGAGCGCCATGGTGTCAGCCTAGCTCACAGCAACCTCAAACTCCTGGGCTCAAGCGATCCTTCTGTCTCAGCCTCCTGAGTAGCTGGGACTACAGGTATGCACCACCATGCCCGGCTAATTTTTTCTCTATATATTAGTTGGCCAATTAATTTCTTTCTATTTTTATAATAGAGACAGGATCTTGCTCTTGCTCAGGCTGGTCTCGAACTCCTGACCTCGAGCAATCCGCCCACCTCGGCCTCCCAAAGTGCTAAGATTACAGGCATGAGCCACCACGCCCAGCCCAGAGTTTTAGAGTTTTAATAAAAGACATATCATAAACCAATTATATTCTGTTAAAAACAAAACAGAAAAAGGGAATTTTTTTGAAATAGGCTTACTTGCAAAATTGGGTGACCAAAAGAATTTTGTATTAAAAGTCTTAAAGTTCAGAGAATACATTGCCTGTGTTTAAAAAAAAGAAGTCTCGAGAAGCTGCCATATTAACATACCTTCTTCCGCTGCAGATGAACGGTGATCTGACATTTTCATCACGTAGCTTTATCAGTGCAGCCCTAACAGGACATGTCAGTCCAGCTGATGTGATATCCCCATGGGTTCGTGTCTTCCTACGGTTCAGTGGCCTCCCTGTGATAATTCACACATTCTGTTGGCTGTCTGGGGATAGGGCCAATAATATCGTCTTACTTGAAGGAATTTTTGCTTGTGTTCAAAAATACCACATCTTTCATTGGGAATAATAGTAAGAGGAGTTAAAACACACGCTTTTTTTTTTCAAAAAGTAAAAAGAATATATCTTCCAAAATCATTCTGTCTGTTGAGAAACTTGGGGCATTTGATAAAGAGTCTCTGTCTTCCCCAGCAAGGCAGGTAGGGGGCAGTAGGCTGTTTTGCTTGGGAAGCTGGGGCAGCCAGGAGCCAGTAAGGGCTCCCCCGTAATTACAGACAGTGTCTGGCACTTAATCAATCTGCCCACTTCTAGGAGGGGGTCCCTCGGTTCTCACCCAAAGCCTATTATTTTAGGGAATGGCTAACTTGCTTATTTTCTGATATAGCTACAACAGATTAGAAGCAGTAAATTTAAAA